TATTAGTTTTTGCGGGTTCGCGTTTCCCTCTCTCACTCCCTCTCTCTGGTTTTCTCTTTCTTTTCTTTTATTCTTCCGTTTCTTCTGCACAGTTTTGCACAGTTTCGTTATTTATATCTTTAATCTCTAACTATATAGCTTCCTCTACCGCAAAAACGAAACCGAGAGAACTATGGCAACTAACGTAATTAATGGCAAGTTTTTTGCTGTTCGAAAGATCGGAGTAAAACGTTTTTGGAAAAAAAAAAAAAAAAAAAAAAAAAAAAAAAAAAAAAAAAAAGATGAAAAGAAAAAAAAAAGATGAAAAGAAAAAAAAAGAGGAAAAAGAAGATTCTATAAATAAAATGCGATTAATAGAAACGACTTAACAGGGGAAAAAGAGAGAAAAAGAAAAAAAAAAGACACTTTGGACTCGATAATTCTCGACGTAAGACGAATGTTTTGGATAATGTACAATGATGAATGGAACAAAGCGAAATTCTAAAAATTAATACAAATCGCGTAAACGTAATTAAATAGAGAAAAGAAATATCGTACTATTTTTGTAGTAGTATGCGATAACTTCGATTTTTATCTTGTCAAAAAGGAGATTCTCATCCCGTTCTTCGTATCACCGCGAGAACTGGGAATTTTTTTTAGGCAGAATTTATACGCGCCGATTTCCTTTTTCTTTTTTTTTCAAAACTCTAAATGCTTTGTCAAACGTGTTATGTATTATGTTACGTGTGTACACGATCAACGTTACTTATACTTTTTTTTATCTTTTTATTACTCTTTTTCTTCTTTTCCCTTTTTTTTGTGTACGTGTGTGTGTGTGTTACCAAAGTTTCACAGTAGTTCAACGTTTTGTCTCGGACACCGAAATAAATATATATATTCGTCTCAGGAATGAAACGTATTTTCTTTTTCTTTTTTTTTTCGTTTTTTTTTTTTAATCCAGTAAACGTCGGTTGTTCTTATCACGGGGATACAATGAGCTCAAACATAACAGTGATTTCCTATTGCTGGTCTCAAAATCTTACACTCTAAAAATACATCCAACAACGAGAAACAGAAGAAACATTTGAATCGTGCTGCAGCCGAGCAGTGGGAATCGTTCAACGACCTTTCCTTGCTTTTTTCCCCCCCCCTTTTTTCTCTTTTTCTTCTCGGAAGTTTTTGTGCAAAGACGTTGCGCAACGCTCGTTTTTTTTTCTCCACTCGATAATTTCTTGTTTGAAACTCGGGACGTGCTTGTTATGATTTCGAGTAGGCGGAATGGAAGCCACTGAGGAGTGTACAAGTTTTTTCCGTGAGAGTAGCGTAAAAGAAAAGGAAAAAAAGAAAAAAGAGAAAAAAAAAGTAAAAACGTTCGCCGCCGCATTCGACACGTGCATTCAACGGCTGCTGCGCAAAACAATTGTTCGCGATAAGAATATTTAATAATTCAACATACTTTGAAACTGTGAGAGGATAGAAAAATCACAGAAAAACCGCTCGTTTCTCCTTGTATGATCGAACACAATGATAATTACAATAAATACCCGTGTAAAGGGAGTCGGCGTTATAATGAACGCGTTTAAAAAAAAAAAACAAACAAACAAAAGGGCACATAAAAAGGGGGGTCGCCAGTTCTCCTCTTATAATTTCATTTTTTTTCTTCTTTTCTTTCGTAAATACATTAAACACATATTTAACATTTCGTAAATAATACTCGAAACAAGTATAAAAAAAAACGATCGACAAATAAATTTTGGTAATTAGATTACAACGTAGAGAGCGCGCAAGAATGTTTTGGGTTTCCATACCGGTAACATTCCAAATTGTTATCGTTCTTTTTTATTCCTTTCGTTTAAGTTTCGTTTCTTTTGCAAGGAAATTCTTTCTTTTTTTCTGTAGTTTCTCTATTCCGAGTTTCAAGTTTAATTAAAAAGAACCGTTTTTTTTTCTTCTTTTCCACGGATGAATGTTTGTTTAAACAAAACAACAGAGCATAAAGAGTATCACTCAAAAAAAGTAATTAAAAAAAAAAAAAATTGCGATCTAATGTGCACATATGAAGAATTGCCTTTGACATACGTCTTTTTTATATTATTCTCAGTGCATATAACGTGTTAGACATTATATATAGTTATACTATGTATAATATGACACTGTGGTGTATAATACTACAGACCTTAGGTCAGGTAAGTACAAAGGCAATTCTCATGTACCATTAGTAAATGGTCCATTACCCATTTCTCTACCAAATGATATACAAAAAGTACTACATAATGAATAAAGACAGACTCGTAAAATTTTGTTGCGCAAAACAAAATTCTACCATAATAATGAATTTTTTTCGATATTTCGTCTACTTATTTTATATTCATCATTTGCATAAATGGATGTGGTTGCGTCTAAAATTATCGCTAATAGGCGCTTTTTCTTCATTTTTTTTCCCCTCCTTCGTACAAGAGCTGTTTCGCTCTTGAAATACAATTATAATAATATGATTAGATTTTTACCACTAACATAATATTAAAAAAATCGGATTACTTTAAAAATTCGAGATTACTTTTTATTATTATTTTTTTTTGTTTAAAACTGTTCCTCGGACAGTATATCATTTTCTTACTTCTCTTCGTAAAACATTTGTTTGTTTCTTTCTTCTTTCTCACTGGTATTACACCAACATACGTAATTACGTGAATTCATTTTAAGTTTACCTTTTTTAAATATTCTTTCTTTTCGTTCTGTTTTGTTTTACATTGTCTTATTATGCACTTTCCCCCGTCGAGCAACTTAGGGCCATCACTATTCACAATTACAAGGAGATAATAGAATCGAAGAATTGTTCGTGTGTATTACGAAGTACACTTACATTGAGAGAGAAAAACAAAAAAAAAGAAAAGATTTCTTAAAATTGTACAGATGTTTCTGTTCCATTTTGATTATTCCATTTGTGAATTTTACATATCACATTTTTTAGACATCCGTTTCTTCAGCATGTCGTCGTGGATCTTCGTGTTTCACTCGTCCTCGTTTTTCCCATCCTTCGAAAATTTGTACCACACATATTCGACATGTTTTACTTTAACAAAGTCGCACTTTGTTTTATATTCTTTTCTTTCCTTCTTTTTTTTAATCAACCATGATTATTTCTTGCTAATCGTTCCTCCAATATTTATCTTGACGCTAGCTGGGCTTGATTACCTACAATTCCATTAATATGAATACACAATATGCACTTCTTTCATGTTCGTTCTGTCTTAATGCACTGGAGTGTTTAAAGTTTCGTACGCTTGCGAGTAGAAATTCTCATAACGTGTCCTCCTCAACGATTTTATACATGGGTGTCGACGATGTGCTTCTGTTCATGTAACAAGTAAAGTCATTCATTTAAATGTTACCGTCCATTCGCGTTTATTAACGATACGATTATACACAATTTACATCCGCGACACTGTGTGTTTATATCGTAAGCTTAGAGAGAATTGTCTTTTTTCTTCCCCCCTTTTTATATCAATGCAGGTCGCATTGCACGAATTTTTTCATTGTTTAAAGAGTTTCTTTTATTCTTCATACAACGTCACGATTGTCACGTGTCCATTTTTCCCTTTCTATATCGGCGTATACACATATGGTTTGTTTATTATATTTTTTTTACTTGCATCTTTTTACACAGGTTCACTGCACTTTTTTTTTCATTTTATTTTACGAAGTTAAGAATTAAAGAAACTGAATGAAAAGAGTCACGTGAAAAGTTTGTTGCGTGTTTCCGGTCGATTAACGATTCAATCGCGGTATTTTTTTGTTTTTTATTATTACACGTTTAAATAAATTTGCCGTTATCTAATTAGTAGATTCGCTTACATAAGAAATCCATTGTCACTTGTTTTTTTTCCCCCCTTGTTTATCAATGTGTTTCTTTTATTTGTTTTACTTTTCGTTGCGGAGTTCTTTATTATGTAATCGCGGGAAATAGAATCTCGACTTGGCGAAATCACTTCAAAAAAAAAAAAAAATTTCCTTCTTCCTCATTAAAATTTGTGTTTTATCAGATAAATCTGGATTCTCATTTACTGATTCTCAATATCTGAGTGAACACGAATGTCAATTAACGTATATCTTGCATATATGAAGATATACGTTAAAATAGAGTACTAATTTCTTAATAAAAAATATACTATCTCTTGATAATAATAATGATGATGATGATGATGATGATGATAATGATAGTGGAGATGATAATGATGATAATACGGCGCAACGAGCTATCACTTATAAATTCACGAACATAATCTTACAAAGTAGTGTGAAAATTGTTGTGATAATTTTAATCACCGCGATGATGATGATGAAAATGAAGCGGTGATCGGGTGACAGTAACGACAATGATGATGACAATAATAATAGTGACGATAATGAAATGATCGTTAAATGGAATATGTTAACAATAACGACAGCTTTACAAAATAACAATCACAATGAGGGACACGAAGGAACAAGTGTCATAATAAAGAACTCTGCAACAAATTACTCCTTGTTTGCAATATGTTGGACTTACAGATTCTCAGTGTCGTTTGATTGTTTTATTTAGTTTACGTTAGTTCCTAGTTGACCATAAGTGTATGCGACTCCATTGGTGCTGCACTATCGTACAATGTGTCGGTATCTTGCGTAGGTTCACCCTGAAGTTGACACTGATTACTTAATGTTCCAGCACCACAGTCACAGAAGAATCTGAAAACGTAAATCAATTGACCAATGAATCATGTATAATTATCTTACGATATTCTATTTGTAGATTCGATTCTATAAATTTTTTTCAGCTAATGTTAACATTATCAACGATACATACCGATCATGTCTAATAAATTCCACATCGTGCCCAGCATGACAGGTTTTTATGCAGTTAACACAAATTGCATTGCGGTCTGTCGTATTGCATGTCTGGCAGCGATAAAAATCGTGCATAGGGAAGGAGGTATATGACGAAATTTTGTATAAACATTGGCCGTTTCCGACTGCTTTTTCAACTGCATCCTGATTATTAAATATTTTATTGCCTGAAAAAATTAAAGTCAACGATTATCCTTCTTCTTGAGTATGCAAGTTGTTTCTTTAAAAATAAATAAAAATATATTAACCTCTAGTTGTCGGTTGTACTCCACTTGCTAAACAAAGACCGCCAAATCTATTATTGAAAATTTGATTAAATTCCAACGTAGCAGTCGCATTGTTTGTTATTTCAACGCCGGCTGCTAATCCATCAAATATTCGATTTCTCCTCAAGACAGGGTGGGATTGTGTAGAAATAAGCACTCCTGCTTGCGCGTTACGAAATATATCGTTTTCTTCGAGAACGCCTATATTATAGTAAGATAGAATAAAAAGTTATTCAGACAACAAATATTTAACTGGAGATTAAAAATAAACTAAAAATATACCTTTGCCGCCATTAAATATACAAATTCCACCATCTCGTCCATCAAATATTTTGTTTCTTTTTAACGTAGGATTACTATCTGTTTTAATCCAAACTCCTGCCATTGCATTATCAAAAATTTCATTTTGTTCAAGTAAGCCTAATCCGCTATTATACACAAGAACTCCACCGTTTTGTCCGCCCCATATTTTATTCCCACGTATCACTGGATTACTTCCAGTCCTAATATTATAATACGCACAAATAAATACATAATAATAAATATATAATATAAAGCATAACAGCATAGTAAATAAGGTTGAATTTTTCCTATTACAAAAATGTCTTACCTTATTTGTACTCCTGAATACAAATGATTGAAAATATCATTGTCTTCTAGTTTTCCATGTCCATTATCATAAAAATAAACTCCTACTTGTTTTCCACTATGAATACGATTTCTTCTTAATACCGGTGTCGATCCAGTTGTTATCCAAACACCTGCTAAAGTATTTGCATACACTTCATTCTCTTCGATTAAACCTTGCCCCTTTTCGTGCACGTATATACCACCATGTTGACCATGATGTATTTTGTTATGTCTAACAATAGGATCTGAATTTGTTCTGATCTGTATACCAGCTAAGGCATTGCCGTAAATATTATTATGTTCGATCAAGCCTCTTCCCTCTCCAAATATATATACTCCTCCTTGATGACCATTATAAATTTCGTTTCTACGAATAGTTGGATTTGAATTTGAGGTAATCCAAACACCGGCGAAATTATTCGAGTGGATTTTGTTGTCGATAAATTGCCCTAAACCATTCTCGTGAACGTAAATTCCACCAGTTTGACCATGGTGTATTTCACAATGTACAACTGTTGGATTAGCACCAGCTTTTACTTCGAAGCCTGCTATTCGATTATTATGAATATCGTTAGCCTCGAAATATCCAAGTCCATTATCAAATGTGAAGATTCCAACATCCCTTCCGTGGTGAATGTGATTCCTTCGCATAATTGGATTTGCGTAATTTTTTACCCAAATTCCAGCCAGTGCATTTCTAGAGATTTCATTGTCTTCATAAGTTCCTTGTGCATAATCAGTGACATAAAGTCCAACGTTTTCGCAATCCGATATGTCACAATTCTTTACCACAGGATTCGCTCCTACACCTGACACGCAAACAGCTGCTCCAACTGAAACGGTGAAAAATTAACGATACATATAAGAGGCAGAAACTCTGAAAAATAAGATATAAATTATTTCACAGAAAAAACAACTTGCTTACCAACACTTGAACTCCTAATAATGCAATGATCGACTGTTGGACTGCAGTTTTCGCCAACTTCTAAACAATAATGTTTATGATGCGGTACTGTACTAGTAACGTCGGGGGTAAATTTCAATGTGAGATGGCCGGCATAAGCTCGTTTTGCTCCTTCTACAAACATAACTGTAGATTCACTTTCTCGTTCTAATATAACAGATTCCGCCACATTTCCGGGTGCTGCACCGATTAATGCAACATCGCTGTCGATTACAAGAAATTCGCCTCTATATATTCCGGCATGTAAGAAAACTAAATGTTGAGGTGCTTCTTCCGCTGCCTGAGAATTGTTTCCACAACAATTCCCTTGACCACTTGTAGTTGTGCTATTATTTGACGAGGAACCGCTATTGCTTCTATATTCATCTACATAATCTAATGCTCCCTGAACTGTATTAAAGTATGGCAAATTTCGACCCTTGAACTTCAAATCCTGAAATCCTGGCCTAACGTGTACTCCTCTATATAATTGTCTAAAGCTTTCTTTCCATGGATTTGGATAGTCTGACTCATCCGGGGATACAAATTCAAATTTACAAGGTGCAGGATTAAATAGTGGCAAGTCATACTCATAAACTTGCTGGTACAGGGACTTCCACAGTTCAGTGTCATTTGCAATTATTTGAAAACGTTTGCAAACTTGTGAAACTCTACATAGATCCTGTTCCATAAGATAATTAAATATAGTAAGCAGCACTTCATCCGGTAGCTCATACTGAAGGTAATGTGCTGCTGTATTTGTGTTTGTACCTGTGAAATGACACAAAATTTTGAAATATTCTTTTATTAAAGTAATACATATAATGAAATTCATTTAGTAACAAATATACCATCTGTGGATAATGAACATGTCCGCCTGGGCCGTTTTCTTGCTGGTAAGGAGGAAGAACTAAGAGCGGCTCCTATACTACTGCCACCTGAGGGAGGTAGAGCAGAGCTGGTACCAGGAGCAGGGTCTGGATGAGGTGGACTTTTACGCCTTAAATCATATGGGGATGAATGTGAATGTGATGGGGAAGGTGATGGTGCTGCAACTCCAGAAACACTGGGTGAAGATCCTCTTCCACCGCTTCCACCCCCACCTCCACCTCCTCCTCCTCCTCCTCCACCACCAACTCCACCACCAGGTGGTATCTGATTTGATGCTGAACATGGCAAATCGCATGGCTCGGCTGAAAAACAACCAATAACCACATAACCAATAACATCAAACTTGATGTTTTATAATTCAAAAGTGAAATTCACAATTATTCCTTTATTATTTATTGTTTAGCAATGTGTGCAATAAAATGTATTGGAAAAAAGATAAATATTGTATAATGTATAAACATTAAACACATTATATTGATTGTTATCTTTTATAGAAGTACATAGTATTTGCTTTATACAATATAAATACAATTATTTTGAAAACATG